TTTTCTTTCCTCAAAAGTTACATGGTTCTCAACCAAATTATGATTGTTATAATTGCTACTAATAAAAAATTAATAATATGGTAGTTATAATAATAGGGTTCTCGATATTAATTGTTAATTACTAATATTAATATTGAAAAAATTGGTTAATTTTTAGGTAGATAAAGAGGCAAGACCATTTCTCATTTTTTCCTCAAACGAACACCCCTATTTTCCCATGGTTCCTTACCTCACTGGACATTATTTTTGAGGAGGTAATTAATTAAATTAAATTTGTTGTAAAATAAAGAAAAATTCAATTAAAAGAAGAAGGAAAATTAGAGGGATAAAATGAGATAATGCAAAGATATATTATAATTAAGACATCCTAGATATTTTATATATTTTTTGTGTTTCCATACTTTATTGTATTTTCATAATAATAATTAGGATCTATCTAATTTTGATTTAATATAAAATAATAATAATGAATATACATATATATAGATTTAATAAACATTAAATAATTAGATAAACATGCATATTATTTCCATTTCCATTTCAATTTTAATTTCAAAATATGCACTATGAAAAATTAAATATAGTTATATAATCCAAAAAAAAAAAAAATGCTTCAAAATTTTATTTGACAACTATGGAGGTGTATGAAATTGAATGAACAAATACAATATATTTATCGAAGTCTTATTTTGTGTCCTCATCATCCAATTGTATTGGGTCTTCTCTTGTCTTCTCATCATCACTTTCTCTTGAAAGCCTGCATTAAAAACAAAAAATATATTATATTATCTTTTGAAATTTTTTTTGATAAAGTTAAGAAAATAATTTCTTAAATAATATAAAATAGAATCAAATAAAAATCATATAAAAGTCTTCTTTCTCTTTATCAAACTTCCTTCGGATTTCGTTTCCTCATGCACATTTGTATCAAAATCTCAAACCATGTTTCTCTTTTACAATTATAATATTCACGAAATAAAACCCAAATTCACCTCATTCTGAAGAAGCCTAAAAACATTAACAAAAAAAAGAGGGCCGGGGGGGGTGGGAATTTGTTTCTATCCTAGGAGACGCACCTCATGGAGTAGACAAAAAGGGGTGAATCAATCTAGCCGATTCACATACCTCAGCTTCCCATACAACCTGCCACACCCAAGCAAATCCACTGAATTTGAAAAACAAAATTTTTTTTTGCTGAACATAAAATTATTGGGCCAATGAATGAGAGATCGGAGTTTGGTTTCAGGTGTTTTATACTCTCAGGTGAGTGATTTTTCAAGTTCCTTGCCTTCTCTTTGCCAGGACTTCTAAAAAGTGGTAACTTTGAGTGAGCACCCAAAAATTAAGACCTCAAGAAAACAATTATCTAAGGAAAGTACTCACTCCCGGAGTGGGAAATCCAAGGCTTAGTGGAGTACGTCTCAGGCGGACTACAGCCCAATGGGTTTTACTTTGCAATTCCCCGTGGGGCTCATGCGGTGAAGCTGGGCAACAATGCGTCCATTTCTCAAAATGTGAGCGTCAAGCCGGGGCTCAGTTTATTCTTTAACGTTCAGCGCCACCCAGACGTGTGCTCAGGACGAGGTGTTGAGGGTGCTGGGGAAGGAAGAATTTGGATTGGGCTGAGCATATAAATATATATATAGATATTAAAAGTTAATAATTAATATATCATTTATTTAAACTAT